ACAGAACCTCTCTGTGCTGTCTGATTGACTGGTGGGTTATGCTGGTGTGGTAGTGGGCAAGGAGGTGGTGCTTAGATGTTGTGTTCAGGTAAGCTGTTACCTGGAGGGGCAAGGAACTCATGCAAATAAACCTAACATCGTTCTGTGAAAATCCTTCCTCTCTGCTTTCTCTCTCCATCTGTGTTGACATGTTTGCTGAACAGCTGTGCCTTTCTCAGATGAATACTTTCAAAGCTGAGGGGATGCAAATCTTTAGAATTGTTACGGTTTGGTATTGAGGAAACCCACAAAGTCCTCATTTCGAAGTCCTCATTCTGATATTTGAATTCCACGAGCTGTTTGCTCTTGACTTGAAGGAAGACAAAAAAAAGAATTCTATGCTAAACCAAACATCATATTAGGTAAGCAGCGGGAAGTTTTATCTAGAGCAATAAATCCCTACTAGGAGAAATCAAGATTATAGGAGGAGAGAACTAATTCTGCCTTTATCATGCACTGGACAGAAGTAGCTTATGGGAAGTAGAAAGATGTAACTGTCATCCACTAGACACATAAGGGAGTAATAAAATAGTGAACAAATATAAATATAGCCACCATACAAATAAAGGAAACAGATAACTGAGTTACACGAAAAGTGTCTTTAAGAAATCAGCTCATAAATTAGAATTAGCCTGAGATATAAATTGCTGTACAGTCTATTCAATTACATTTACACTTAGAAATTTATACTTATGAGAAGGAAAATGGGTATAGTTTGTTTGGATTATATACACAAAAATTATTGTGCAACAGTGTTTACATAACTGACACACAACCGCAAGATCAAGGAAATGAAAAGTTATGCTACCTAACAATACCTACGCTCTACTTCTCCACTCTCAGGCCCACAACTTACCCATTACCACAGCCTTAACGCTGTCCCTTCAACTTCTCATTTTTCACACGCCCTTTTACCAAAGTACCCAACACTAATAGTTGTTCATGTTTGGGACAGCAGTTTCTTGTATTTGGCAAAGGAAGTGCTGAAAGTCTGGACTCCTAGTGAGGGAAAAGTTAAGATTGTGGTATGGTCTGAGGTGTGTTGAATTAATTTAAATGGAATAAATGGGCCCAAAGGAGTCAAAGTTATTACCATTAACAACCTTTCCAGTTTTAAACAAGGCACAGGGTTCCATGTACAGACACCTCAGCTTGCTTAGGAGATGGCAAACACCACTACAAATCCTTTTAAGCTTTTATTAAAGATACAGAAAAAAGAAGGAAAACAATTAAAGCATTTGAACTGTAAAGTATGAAGTAAAACTTTCATGTTAACAATATCCCTTTAGCTGTAGAGAATATTTAGAAGGAAAGAAACCCTGCTTGACTGGCTCTTAGATGGTATTAAAGATGGTAATAAATGTACTTTTGGGGGTGGGGAAGAGATAAAGTTAGTTAGGATGGGCTGGAGCTGTTGCTGAAGTCTGTTCCTCTTTCCTAAAAGACAAAACAAGACAAATACACACAAGAGGGGAGAGAAAAGAATAACAAAGACAGAAAATGTAGCTTCTATGTTTGGTGCTAACTGTCCCTTGCAACCTCACTTCTGGAAAAACATAGGCACAGTGCCTGAATTGCATTTGTGTCCCCAACAAAGCAGCAGTTTACTGATTAAAACAGTTGTACCTCCATATTAACCCACTTGGTGCTGGATGAATGAATCCATGGTCCAAAAATATTTATACTGTAGTTGCATACTATAGCCCTGATCCTGCAATTGGACCTTTGCAGGCTGGCCCTTCTGGAGCTCAAAAGAAGTCGTCCGAACTCTGCACAGATCCAGTTGGAGAATTAGGGCCTGTATAATGTGTCGGCATTTGTGCTGTTAATATTCTGATGTAAACTAAATTGCCCAAGAGCTTTCTATGGGAAAGTTCCATGAAATGAAGGTGACTATGAATGGAATTGGCCGATGAAAGCGTGCCAAGGACATTGCTTGTGAGGTAATTGTTACATGCAGAGTCTGGCTAGAGAATTTCTACACTGGTTTAAAAGAGTATCATAAGCGAAAGTCAACAAATAATTTCAAATGAGACTCCAAAGAAGTTTTTGGGAGGTCACATGTGGATTTACTGTATTCACATGCTCATTAGAGAAGCCAGTTTGCCAAGGTGCTGCCGGTTTGACCATAACAATTGAAGCCTAAAAAGTACATATCCATAATTCCTTTACAAATACATTCTCAATAACGTAACTTCACCAGTTATCTGTTCCCCATAAATAATTCAAATATCTGCTATCTTACACTTTAGGTTTGTGTAATTTAATGATTGGCGTCCTGAGAAGTGAGAGTCATTAACTCTGCACATCCAATAAAAATACTGTAATGAACTTGCTGGCTCATTATTTGACACTATGTTAATCCCCAATTTAACATCCAGTCAGTAGAGGGGTCTAAGACAGGGGTTCTCAAACTGGGGGTCAGGGGTTATTACATGGGAGATAGTGAGCTGTCAGCCTCCACTCCCAAATCCCGCTTTGCCTCCAGCATTTTAGAATAGTGTTAAATAAAAAGTGTTTTTAATTTAGAAGGGGGTTGCACTCATAGGTTTGCTGTGTGAAAGGGGTCACCAATACAAAAGTTTGATAAACACTGGTTTAAGGACAGGAAGGGGAAGTGTTGAGCTGAGGTCAGAGGAGTTCATGAATGAGTCAGAGGCTGCACAGAATTAGTTAGGAGCCGAAGGCCAGAGGCAGGAATCTGGGGGAGCCTGGTTGTGGAGAGAGGGCAAGGCACCAGGGGCAACATATGGCTCCTCCATTTGGGTAGTCTACTGGCACCCAGACCATGGCCCTGCCCCCACTCAGCCTCCTCCCCATAAGCCCTGCCCATACTCCACCTCTGCCCCGCTCAGCCCCCTTCCTGAGGCCCCCGCTGCTCACACCTCTTCGCCCTCTCTCCTGCCCGCTGGCTGGCAGGCTGCTCACCACTTGTGTGCGCCTCTTCACCCCCTCCCACGCGGCCCCCGTGTAGGCGGAGTGGGACAGGAAGAGGCAGAGCCTTAGGAGAAGAGCGGGGCCCTGGCCAGGATGCCCACCCTTTCAGTGGTGGCATGCTCCAAAGGCGGTATGCTGGCTGTTTGGGGAGGCTTAGCCTCCCCTGGCCTCTTATACCTGCTGCCTATGCAAGGCACTTTAGGAACTGAGGCTAAAAGGGTGGGAGCTGGCACAGGAAGCAGCTTGTTGGTGACGAGGGGCGGTGGTAGCTGTAATTCATAGCTACTTGGGAGCAGCTAGAAAACAGGGGAACACTGTGTGGAAGGGTCTGAACGCAACTGAGAAAAGGGCTGAGCGCTGGTCAGGGGATACTTCAAAACATGAATTATAAAACTTACTTAAATGCTCATTCAAGTTTTCTTGTAAGAAATCAAGCTACAGTGTGCCAACAAGATAAGTGATTTGAGTTCATTAGTTTGTTTATTCCCTGCTTTGGAAATATTATCTATAGATCCTTGGTCTTTAGTTTATATGCGATAGGAATATCACTGACCCTTTGCCAAGCCATGGTAGATTTGGAGGCCTTGCAGGTAGGTTTCCCATGGGAAGATAAATCAGTGACAGGGCATTTTTCTAAGTGTAATTTTTTGTTTTTGTTACAAACTGTACACAAATCCTGATTCCTTGAACAAACTGCACACAGGCAACTCCCTTTTGCAGAAACTTCAGCTACAACACCACTGCCCTTTCACCAAGAGGCAGCTGTCTTGCTTCTCTCTTTCTCTCAACTTAAAACACTTTGTTCACTGTGCCTCCATCAGTCAGTCCTTGGGAAACCATCTAGCCCAGAGCTGCTCTCTGAGAATCACAAGGTCTTCTGGGGCTGGCTATCAATCCTCCTTTTGTACAACTGCTCTGTAAACACACACAAAAAATCTCCTCCAAAAAGGTTTTACTGCCAATCAGAGAGTACTTCCCACAACTCCCTTTATGACCATCTGGATGTGGTGAAAGTTTCAGCCGTAGGCCCAGATTTTTAAAGGTGTTTTGGCGGTGCTGCACTCAGTGTTTCAATGCCTAACTGATTTAGGAGCCCAAATCTCACTTTCAAATAGGATTTAGGCATGTGCAGCAATCCCTAAAACCTTTAAAAATCTGGGCCTTAATGCTCATATGTCAATTCAAAACACACATGGAATTAGAGCCTGTTATTTTAGTTAGATCATATAAGCTTTAGTGGGAGTTAAAATGTAAGGGTAGCGCTAGCGTGTATTTTCCTTGATGTAAATTTAGAAGTAGTGTGTACCTGTACATGCGAATAATGATTCTTGTCCTCAAGTGGATGGCTCTCTATTAGTAGAATGAAAGGTCTTTGCAAACTTTAAGCCTCCAAACTTCTTGTGAGTAAGGTAGCTGTATCTTAACCAATTTTTAGGTTGTAAAATGACAGTCTATGTGTAAAGTTCAGAGTCACACAGCCAGCTAATGCAGAGTTGGAATTAAAATCTAGGGGTCATGACTTGGTGTCCCCTGCTTCAACAGTGCTTTCTGCTAAAAAAAATTAAAATAAAGTAAAATGCATGTATTATAGCCGTGTCCACTAGTTTAGTTGTGAGTCCAAACCTACCACAATGCCTGGAACTTTCCATTGGGATTATTATTAAAATGGCAGGACAATGCCAGTAGGTTTTCAAGGTTCTGGCATGTTTATTGTAGCATCATGGTATTTTACTGTAAACCCGGTCATAACAGATTGATTCTGTACAGTACTCCAACTTGTTAAATGAGTATGCTGTAAGGAATTTCAAAGTCTTTCATGATGCGAAGTAGAAAAAGCCTCTTGCCATAAAGAAAAGTAATGCATTGTCTTGCTAGTCTTTCATAGCCTGATACCACTGATTGTGGGGAATAGTCATTAGATCACTGGTTTGAAAAAACTGTTTACATTTAAGTCCTATTGAAATGAATCTGTGTGTAACAATAATACGTTTTAAACAATGCTTCTTGATTTATTTGGTTTCCAGGAAAAGTAGCTATACAGAAGGAAGATCTGCAGAAGTACCATAACAGAGACACCTGGTTTCAGCTACAGCATGTTGATGCTGATTCAGAAGTACAGGTGAGATTTCTCCCTTGTCAAGGTATTTTATAATGCCACCATTGCAACTTCTAGGGCCATCTAATTACAGAAAATAAGATGGCATAGATATGGAAGTGTCATTAATGACTACAGTTGAGGTTACATAGATATTTAAAAAAAAATCCACACACACACACTTTAATTACAAACTGGTGATATGAGGTGAAATTTTGGTCCATTGAAGTCAATTTTTTCTATTGATTTAATTGATTTCAACCTAGACTTTTCTAATTTACCATATGGTTAAAGCTATATAAACTATAGGGATAGTGTGAAATAGGATGGCTAGCTACAAAATACTAAATATCCTGAAGGTTTTGCAGATAACTGTTCAGTCTTAAAGGGACACTGTCAACTTGAAAATCAGGGTTACAAGCGCCACCTAAAATTATTATTATTATTATTATTACACAAAAAAACTGTGTGAAAAGAACATTATGAAGCTTCCAAATTCAAACTCTCAAAAGTTAGGAAGTACCAGAATTAAGGTTGCCTGTGCTGGGTCTTAGAAAGGTGGCAACCTTAATAATAGGTGGTGCTGTCAGCCTTGCCTTTAATAAATGGAAAGTTATCAAGAAAAAAAAATTGTGTATTTTCAGCTTACTTTGTGCATTTGACAGCTTTCCACATGTTGTCAGTTACACTGATCTCCTATTTAGTCATACTCTCTGTTGCCTGGGAAAACTCTTAATGTCAACAAGGAGCAGAAAATACATTATAAAATGTATTGAGAAGTTTGTGTGGGGAGGGGGGAAGCATGCTATTTAGAGAGTGCTCTATCAGAAACTGGAATCTTATAAAAATTTTAAAAAGAAACAAGAATCAAGTTATCCCTCTAACTTCTTTGATATCCAGGCAACTGTAGATTTCAGGGACAGCTTTCTAATGGCTCCTTTTTGTGTCTGCTAGGCCACTTTTGAACCAGATTCCATTTTTAAAATAACAAATATTTTCCTTAAATAAGAATTGAATATTGTAGGTCACCTTCGAACAATGAATATTAGCGTAGGAGCCCCCAGACACTGCAGTCTGAGTACAGTGCAGTGTTTTCCTATGCATGGAATGGGGAAATGCTACTCAGATACCACAGTGTGGTATCGCTTTTGGCATATATTGGCTTTTTGATCTGCATGTGAGTGTGTGCGTGCACACGGTGTACAGGAAAATGAATGTGTATACTGTGTATAAGACATATTCTGTACAGTGGTGAGCTGGAGCCGGTTCGCAAGAACCAGTTGCTAAAATTAGACGCCGGTGGGCCGGGCCGGTGGGCAAACACCGGTCCGCGGGCCACATCCAACCCGTGGGACCGTCCTGTCCCCCACCTGAGCTCCCAGGAGTCCCAGCTGGGACCTCCCCCGGCCCCTCCCCCGCTTTCCCTCCCTCCCCCAGAGCCGCAGCGTGCCGAGCCGCCAGCAGCTCAGCTCCCCAGACCTGCCGCTTTGAGCAGCCGCTGGCAAGGTAGGGGAGGGGGGGGCGGCTGTGAGCTCCCCCCCACCCAACCCCCCGGTTCCCCATCCCCTGACCACCCTCCAGAACCTCTGCCCCATCCAACCCCCACCCCTCCGCTCCCTGTCCCCAGGACTCCCTGCCCCTTATCCAACCCCCCCGGCCCTGGCCTCTTACCATGCCACTTACCCGCTCAGAGCCACGTGGTAATGCCGAGGTGGAGCTGCGAGCTCCGGGCTGAGTGGCGGGAGCTCAGGCCCTGGTGGAGCCACCACGCCACTGCAGCGCTGTCCAGGGCTGCTCCTGGACGCCGCGCGCTGAGGCTCTGGGAGAGGGGAGAGGCGGGGGTAAGCGGCATGGTAAGGGGCTGGGGCCAGGGGGGTTGGATAAGGGGCAGTGAGTCCCGGGCATGGGGGGGGGGGGTTGAATGGGGCAGAGGTTCTGGGGGGGCGGTCAGGGGACGGGGAGGAGGTTGGGTAGGTGGGAGTTCCGGGGGTCTGTCGGGGTGGTGGTGGATGTGGTCGGGGCAATCAGGGGACAGGGAGCAGGGCGAGTTGGGTAGGGGGTGGGGTTCTGGGGGGCAGTTAGGGTGGGAGGTCTCGGGAAGGAGTGGTCAGGGGACAAGGAGCAGGGGGGTTGATGGGTTGCGGGTTCTGAGGGGGGCAGTTGGGGGCAGGACATGGGTGGGGGTCGGATGTGGGGGGGATAGGCTGTTTTGGGAGGGGGGTGGGGCTTGTACTCACCAGGCAGTTCCCTACCGGGTCTTCGGTGGCACTTCGGCAGCGGGTCCTTCACTCGCTCCGGCACTGAAGGACCCGCCACCACCGTGCCGCCGAAGACCCGGTAGGGAACCGGTTCCTAAAATTTTTTGCAGCTCATCACTGATTCTGTAGACATGTGTTTTAGGTGTATGTACTATGCAGTGAAGCATACTTACACTGTACTTTAAAATATATGTAGTTTTGCTTATTCCAAAAAACCAAAGTTGGGTAACCTACAATTATGAGCATGATATGACGGCATTGTGGTAATTGCTGTTCCAGTTCAGTCTGTAACGTTCTCTGGTAAAATATTGATCCTTTGTGTGTCTACATCACAGAAAGGCTTTTAAGGGCATTGAAATCTATTTTGTTTACTCTCGCTTCTCTCTTCTTCTTTTCTTCTCACCTAGAAAGCTCTTGTGGCAGTAGTTTTAAAACAATAGATTGTATTAGTGTTTATTTCCTGCAGGATATGAAAACTTTCCCTTATAATTTATCAGCTGACATGAGCCAATATTTGCATAGTACTCAGCCATGTTGATTTTGCTGTAATATTGACATGCAGTTTGCCTGTGGGAACTATATTAGACCAAGGAGACTCTCTAGGAGAACACTGATAATTTGTTACTGAAGTTCTGAGGTAATAAAGCAAAGGTTTGTGAAATATTCTAGTTTGAGGATAATGAGAGCATAACATTAGCTGGAAAGCATGTACTGTTTGTGATTTTTTTGTACTGCTTATCACTTCCTCTGTTTGGATCTTTATAAAAAAATGGTAAAAGCTGTTTCTGGCTTCTGTGATAAGCAGTTATTACAACTAGTAGAAATATGGATAGCATTTGGACAATTTCACCCTGTTGCTTAAACTTCTCATGTAAGGTTTGTTAGAATATATTACAAGAGATTTTTATGTTCCCCACTATAATGGTGGGCAGACTTGGAAATACTCTGTGAGGACTGCTATGTAAGGAGAAGGCTGTCCAACAAAAGGAGTAAAACAAAAGCTGATTTGTACTTGTGGTAGGTGTCTCAGCTGTACCTCTTTTTTGAAAATGAATTTTATACATTTGTTAGGGGAGAAGATGAAGTGTGGAATATGTTTAACAAAACTGGTGAAAAATATGTGTAAAATGTTTAATCAATTCATTTTCCTTTGTGTCTCTCTCTCCTCAAAACTGTTCTAGAAAGTGGCTGATAATTATTCACACTGAAACGTGCAAAAAAACCCAACCCTGTAGTGTGCAAACAAGAAGCCCCTTTAGCGTGTGAACTAGCACTTAAATATTCTGGCAATGGTCCCCAGAACCATAAAATCTAGTGGATTAAGCACAGGGCTAGGTGCCAAGAACTCCTGAGTCCTAGTCCCACCTCTGTCAGTCAGTGGCCTTAACAGGTCTTTCCAATTTTGTATAGCAAAGTTAGTGGATGCTGCTTAAGAGTTTGGTCTACATGACTTGCCTAGGTAGCCCTGTCGCCTAATAGATTAGGGTTAAGACTTGTGGAAATATTTGCCTAATTAATTCATGGTGGAGCTGGGTACTAACTTATGTTTCTAAAGTGCTCCTTTGTAAGTTCAGAATACTAAAGCAAACCAGTGGACATAAACTCCAGAGTTGTCTTTGTCCCTGGACAATGGACATCCAATCATGCTAGTAATGCAGCTTTCAACTCAGATCATTATGAGGATCTGTTGAGTGACCTGGTGGGGTGAGCAGAATTGCACTGAGATAACTTAGCTCACTTCTCTCAGAGCCATGATGGTGGGCAGTTGCTCTTCCTTGAGAGAGCTCAATTACGGAGTCCTTGAAGACCCAATCTTCTCTTTTCCTATTAAACATCTATTCCTATTCCTTACCTTTAGGGGGAATATGTGGGACATTATGAACTCCAGTGTGGGAAATAGCTAGTTTCATAGCCCACGAAAGCTTATGCTCTAATAAATTTGTTAGTCTCTAAGGTGCCACAAGTACTCCTGTTATTTTAGTGTAGACAGTGTGATGATCCCCATATCTCCGTGCCTGAGAGCAGCAACAGGATGAAGAAAAATTATGTGAAGCAATACATAGGCAAGACTGTATTAATGTTAGTAAGAAGGAAACATTCTGAAGAATTTTCCAAAGCTATACCAACGCCCTCAATTAAGGGTTGCTGAATTCCATTTGTCATGGTAACACGCAGTTGTGGGGTTCTGCTGGGCTCTTTGTTGTGCCTGAAGAGCTAGATAATGACAGTGGCCGGGAGGCTGTGCTGCTTCCTGTTGAATCTGGACTTTGTGATGGTGCTCCATGCATTCATTGCCTCCAGAGGCTTTTGCAATTCACTGAGCTTGGGACTGAAGGTGATGTCCACCAAGAAGCAACAGCCAACACAAAATGCAGCAGTCCATCTAATAAACAACCACTGTCTGATCAGCACATCACTGCTGCCCTGCTTCATGCACTGGTTCTGTCTTCTGGATGAAAAAGCTGGGCCATCATTCTCTGAAAAACTGTTTCTCTGCATTACAATAGCTGGGGATTGTGGAGCTAGCAATGCATAGGGTGTAGCGTGCATGAGCCTGACATTTAGAATGTCCTTCCAAAAATCACAGAGAGCGCAACCAGAATTTTCCTAAGAAGGGGCCCAGGTTACCTACCAAGTAACAGAGGTGTATGAGGTTAAAAGTCTATATCAGTACATGTTACACAGAATATTAAAGTACAAAATCTAGGTGTCCGGGTGTGACTGCAAGGATGTCAATCACATTCTCTAATGAGAGAGGCTGACTGC